GACGACGACGCGGTGTGTGGTGTGTGTGGGGGTGTGTGTGTGTGTGTGAGAGTGTGGTGTGTGTGGGTGTGTGTGGGTGGTGGGGGGGGGGGTTGGGGTGCGGGGATTGGGATTGGAGAGGAGGGAGTTTAGAATGGAGCCCAAGCACTGTCTTTGGGTCACGTGACTGATCTGGCTATATCGGATTATGTACTCGATTGTAAGCAGGGTTCTGTTAGGGTGTATGTTGCTGCGTGGGTCCACTCTGAGGATTAAGAGTCTGAGGCTAGTAAACCGCTTAACGTGGGGACGAAGGGCGGGGCTCGAGTGTCGGGTCCAGTGGAGGGGTGGGAGGTTACTGTTTCCCTTCCGCTGACCGCCCCTTCTTTTCCCAGAGGCGGCCCCCGAGGGCCCAGAGACGGCAGAGATCACCGACTTCCAGAGGGTGCGTTTCTGCAAGGTGGTGGCAGCCGCTTCGCCACCGGGGGCCGCCCGCTGACCGCGCCCGCCAGCTGCGGCCTTAGCGCTCTGCACTAACCTGCTACCTCGCTCCTCTGTCCTCTGCTTCCGCCACACTCCATCCAGGAGAGGGTTCAATGTAAGGGGGGAGGTGGTAGGGACAGTACCGGGTGGGACCAGGGCAGTAGTCCAGCCTCACAAATGGGGGGCGCCATGGCACCGGGGTGGCTGAGACACCTCCGAGTTACTCACGGAGGCTGTGGGGGATCTCGGTGCCAGTTCCCGGGATGAGCTTCCCGCCTCCAAGAGCTCACATCTGGGGCATGGCAAATAGCCAGTGACTCTTTTGATGGACTTTAATTACTCGGCCATCGGCCCGGTCTCTATTAAACGCAGTGCTTCCGCTAACCTTTGAACTGTGTTTCTGGCGGGGGCAGTCTGGGTTGCTGTGCTTGGCGGGCTTTTCCGTGGCGGAAGAGGCGGGAGGAAGGGGGTCTTTCTTCCTCCACCCCCCTGATACGTCTTCCCTCCCCCCCTCCCGCAGGCCTCCCTGAACTCCTGAAGACGCTGCTGGGAGGGGACTGAAGCTTCCCCGCCTTGATGGGGAGGGGGCGGCAGGACGGGGTTAGTCTGGATCTCCAGGCTGTGTTCTCTGTTCCCCGGAGCCCACTCTGGACCCCATGGCTTTAGACAGAGGGTGAAATTGAGGGTGGTGGGAAGGAGCTGGGGAAGGGGGTGTGGCTGGGGTGTGGGGCGTAGTTGGAACTTCGGGGCGATAGACCTCAGGACACAAAGTATGGAGGAGGAGGCAGGTCCCGTGAGGGGCGTGGTTAGGGTGCCTGGGCGGGGCCAGAATTCTAGTGGACTGAGTTAAAACATGGGACGCTGTTAGGGTGTGGGATGCAACCAAGAGCAGATTTAGGCGGGAATCCCTAACGCTGTTAGGGGGCGCAGACAGCGGCGGAGGGCGTGGTTTATAATACGGTGTTCAAACCAGTGGCGTGAGGAGAAAAGAGGTGGGGCCTGGACTGGAGATGGAGGATAATCGAATGCTGGAGTAGAGTCTGACTTGGAGAAGGCAAGTTAGAATTGGGGCAGGACTGCGGCTGAGGGGCAGGACCTAAACAAGGCCTGAGCTTGGGCAAGAGAGTGGCGGAGCTATATGCCTGGAAGAAGTCTGAGTTCTGAAAGGAGACGGGGTTAGGACGCGGGAAGAAGGACAGGGAAAGAGGAGAGTGGAGCTACGCGCTGGGGCGCGTATAACACCAAGCCTGGCAGGAGTCGGCTGGGCCGGACCCTGCATTTGAGAAAAATCGAGGTATTACATGCTTGGGGCGGGGCCACAGCCAAGTCGGGGCGGGGTCAGAACGCTGTGGTTGTCTTAGCTTAACGGTTGGCTGGAGGCTGAGGAGAGGGCGGCCTAGAATTCGGAGGAGTGAC